ACTATCTCCATATTAAAAGATTAATAATATATACCGCTTGATCTTTATTGCATATAGTGATTAGACTACGGGATTAAAAATCAACTGTCACACTCTGTGATCTATTAAAAGAATATTTAAACTTAATAAATTATCGAATGCAACAATTAAGAATATCATATTTTAGACTAACGTAGTCCCATAATTAATTGTATATGTTTCTCGGTTTCAAATTTATACCTTATTAAATTTCATTTAAATTTTCTATCAAAGTAAAGCTTCATTTGTCCGTATAATCAACTTTAATCTATGTTATGAAATTATTATTACTTAAAGCTTTTGCTTATTTATTGTACATTATTATTTTTCTAGCTTAAAAAACTGTCTCAAAGTAAGATATTAAGTTAGGAAAATCCAAAGACGCTTAATCTTTCATTTGTAAATGGCGGTTAAAATTTGTTTCAAAAATAAACTACTATGTTAGGACGTAAAGTATTCTAAACTTTATGAATTCAATATTATTTTTTTGCCATTGTCACTGGATTACTGAAAGACACTTGATTAATTGTCACAGCTGAAGCCGAAACCTCTGAAGCTGGAAACTGGACCCACCTTACGTATAACTGAGCTTAAATTTACTGCCGATATTAAAATTAAAACCAAAGATTAATACAATAATGACATTTGACTAATAACATATGTAAGGGGACACTTCAAGAAAGATGAACACTGGGTTCATCACATCACGTGAAATCATGCAATTACGTCATTTGTTTACTAGCACTAACTAACTTAGGCCGAACGATTTATCATGCGACGTGATGATCACTGGGTTCACTGTTCTTGAAACTACCCTATAAAACATAGGCTTTTGAACTGCCTACAGTTGCTTACTGCAGCTGTGAAGCCTAAATGCCAAAAACAAGGTCCTTGCACCGCCTATAAAAGTTGCGGTGCCTAAATATCAAATATGAGATCCTTGCAAGCCGCTATATACCAAATGCATGCTGCTTACAGCGGCAGGAGTAGACTTGTTGGTGAAACTAAATCACACTGGTGAAACTGGTGACTATCTAAAATCTGATTGGCTATTGCATTCACCAGCCAATCAGATTTTAGATAGTCACCAGTTTCACCAACAACTCTAGGCAGGAGTCTAATTGCCAAATATGAAGTCCTTATTCTCTAATGGCAGCCACAAAGCCTAACAATACTAACCAATAGCTTGTTAACCAGTTTTTGTGCTCTTAGTTTAAAGTTACCTAGCAATGGGCATGAAGGTGGGACAATAGAGCCAGCCTTCGCTCCAAGGCAAGCGATAGCGAAAAGAAAGATAATCTTGTCTACAAGCCAAAGGCTCCTTAAATACATAACTGATTACATAATCAGAACCATATTATTACCTCTTGTTTCCCTTAGGCCACGCAAAGTTAATTTTTCATTTTGCATTACATGGATTTCAGAATCAACTCGGATTTTTTTTATTTTTATTTTTTTAATTCTACAGTAAATAATAGACTCATATTTACATTTAAGGTCATGCATAGTTAATTTTTCGCTTTACATAACATGGAATCAGAAAATTGGGTCGGCAATTGAATTTTTTTTTATCAGTTCTGTCAGACAATTCCGGAAAAGTAAAGTCTCTATCGGGTGATACCAGAATAATTTATGGGGAAAATTAAATGGCAAAAATAGAACAATTGGCACAATTGGAACCTAAAAAGAAAAATATATTCGAAAAATTGAAAAAATGGGTCGGCAGGTAATGCAAAACGAAAAATTAACTTTGTGTGGCCTTACCCATAATTCACGATTTGTCTTGACCCAAAATCAACCAATCATAATTGAGATTATCAAAAAATTTTGCATTTAAAATTATTTCAAAGCGAATTTATATAAAAACGTCCTTTTTAACTAACTTTGACTTCTAATTAAATATGTTGAAAATTATAAAACTTACATATTTCATTATAAGCCAAAAGTATGTTAAAAAGGTCATTTTTAAAAAAATTTTGCTTCCGAATTCACCCTTGATAGTTACCAACCAATCAAACAATAGCAAACCAATCCTAAAATACCCGAATAGTAAAAGTACTTCTTTTTACAGCTTAGTATAGCTGTCTAGAGGCTAAAAAACTCTTTTTTACCAGGAACATTAGTGTATAGTAGTGTTCAAAGACAAGCCAGCTTATCACGGCTTGCTGCGGCTTAATGCAGCTTATCACGTAATAAATTCGAAGTTATCACCAAGCTATGTGATAATCGCGAACATATCACGTGATAAATTCGAAGATATCACATGGCTTGGTGATAAAATTCGAATTTATCACGTGATAAGCCGCATTAAGCCGCAGCAAGCCGTGATAAGCCAGCTTATCTTTGAACACTAGTGTATGGTTTTACTGGCATCTAAAACGAAGGCAAAATCTTAAAGCTGATTGGTGCATATTTTTCTTATGATCATTACCTGTTTTATGTAACTATTGTGATATGATTGTCAAATTTGGAATCGTTTAAAGCCAGATATATAGTCAACATGTGATTTTAAATTTATAAATCTGTTAGTAATCAATTTAAAAAAAACTACGACCTCCAAATTTGGGACTATTGCGACATTTAATTCATTTCCTAATTTTAAATAAAACAATACTAAAATAACGCAAGACAAAATACCATGCAGTAATTGGATAAATTAGATGATACAAGCATGTAAAAAAATACATTCAACATCATAATGATGCAAAAATTGTGATCCTTTTAATAATATTAGTAGAGTATAATAAGACTGATTCGTTACAGAACAGCTCAAAATATTTTCAATAACCAGGATCAATTTTTTAGAAATCAAAAAATCTAAACCACCTAATTCTGAGTTTATCCGTTTAAACGATTTTGATTGGTCATCAAAAAACGTGACCAGAGTATAAAAAAAATATTATGTTCATCATAATAACGTGTGATAGTGATGACAAAGTTACGTTATGACTACTTTGAATTTTGGGTTTGTACTTAACCATTTTTGATTAGCAGCATCCAAAAATGTGAACAAATTGTGGGAAAATTTTTGATCAGCCTAATGAATCTTATTTTTTTTTTATTTTTTTTTTTTAACCCCAAGATAGTAATTATCTGGAGACATTGAGTGACGCGTTTTATTTATTATATATACAATTTGAATTATACAGGATTAACTATTTACATTATATATATGCTTTAATAAACTCTTTTTCTTCTTTTTTAGTAACTTGCTACTTAGAGCCACCCTGATTTCATTTAAAATTCTAGCTTTCTCAATAAATGGTGGAGCTGGTTCCGGCTTTGTGCCATTTTCCATCTCTTGCTTGTGAACCAGACCCAGATTTCATATATTACAGTGATATGAAGCCACATGACTACCCTATGAAAACTCGATATACAGAAATACACGCATAAATACAAAATTGTATGCAAATAAGCATGGGTTTCAGTATTACTGCATGGAAAATGCACGGAAACTGATCATCAAAAAAATTTAATACACGTTATCACATGAAAAATTGAAATTCATACACTATCGTGCACAGTATCATATTCATATATTGACATGTATTAATCTTAATAACCACATAATTTCCATGCACTAATGTGCACAATTATTAAGATTCTTAATGATTGTGCATGTTAGTGCACGGAAGTCAAGAATCTTAATAATTGTGCATATCAGTGCACAAAAATTATAATCATTATGAATCTTAACGGTTGTGATGATCGTAGCATCAGTGCACTGAAATTATGATCATTAATATTATTAATGATCATAATTTCAGTGCAATGTGATGATCGTGACATCATTGAACTGAATTATGATCGTTAATAATATTAATGATCATAATTTTAGTGTAACATGATAATCATTAAGATTCTTAACGATTATAATTTCCATGCATTGACGCGCACAAAACATTCATTTTGTGAGTAAATAAATATTTATTTTTGTTTTTATTGTTTTTTTTTTGTTTCACTTCTTTATTTTTTAGTTATCCTTTAGAGTCATTTGCTTGAAAATTGCTCTTTTGAAATCACTATCATTTTTGGTCGATATATATTTTTCATGACTTTGTTTTTTTTTATTTGCTTTCTGTACATTGCTGTATTTTGCTTCTATTTTTTAGTATCTTCTTTGAGTTACTGCTATTGAAGTTATTATGATTTGAGTTAGCACTATTGGAGTTATTGCTAAGTAGTCATTTTGATTTTTTTTTTTTTGAAACTTTTATTTTGATACTATTGTTTTACTTTTTTATTTTTTTTGCTATTTTTTCTCTTAAGGTGTAGTCAACATAAATTTCAGTTTTGGTTTTATTATTTTCATACATAGTGTTTACTTTTATTTTCATCAATTTTCTTTCTGTACTAAGTAATCAATTAGATTTTTTTTAAATTGGTACTATTGTTTTACTTTTTTTTGATGTTATTAATAGTCTTAGTAATTAGAATATTTTCTTTATTCAGAATGTAAATTATTAAATTAAAGTATTTATATTATAAAAATTTAGTCAATAAAATAATAAAATTTACTTAATAAAATTTAATTAATAAATTTTAAAAATTAGCTAATAATAAATAATAAATTTAATATATATATGGATATATATTATTATGCATAGATATATGTTATTATGTGTTACCTGCATGTAAATATACACGAGACAATGCACGAGAAACACATAAAATTACACGTTAGTACATGCACTGTTACACAAAATTCATGCCTAATTACGTACTGTAAACATGCTTTCTCATACATTGTTTCGTATAGATTTATGTATAGGTTCATGTGGTCCCATATCCAAACTTTTATGTGTATTGCAGTATCATTCCGTGCTGCAATTTCTTATAGGCTACTGTGTGAGGTTGGAATAATTTGATGTTGGCTGCTGTGACTATTTGTTTAATAGTGATTGGAGGTGTTGAGATATGCGAGAGATCAAATATGTCATAGGCGTATCTCTAAAGTTTATTGCTAATACAACAATCTATCACAAAATATTCCATTTTTGTTGCTTGTTTGGGCACCATGGACAATCACGTGGTATTGTTGAGTCTATGTGCGCTAGTCTTAGTCCTAATGGAAGTGCTTTGTGTATCATCTGCCAAAAAATGTTTTTTTTCTTATTGGGTGCCCATTTTATAAGTAACCATGCCCAGTTTTCTTTCTTATCAATCTCACTAAAGAAGTTACCTTGAGTTAAAGTGTATGATATAGATGTTTTTCTCAGATATTTAGTAGTCTTTGCCACCGTTAGCTTGTTTATACTGGCTTCCATGATTTTAGAGCCTCAAAATCCCATGGCCAGTTACTGTTATCGATTAAGACTTCATCTTTTAATCTCTTCCATAATGTTAGATACGGTTTCTATTCACATGGCCAACCTTTTAACCTAATTGGTGAGGCCGAAAGAGCTATTAGAGCTGTTATGTTTCATCTTTTGTGTAATGCTAGATCTATTTTTCTTTTTTCATTCACTGCCCATAAATTGCTACTAGTAAGAAGCTTTATCCAAATTGTAACTAGCCTTGAATCTAATATATCTGATAACACAGGTGCATTTAGTCCATTGTAGCTTTATGCCTGCTGGTAAATTGTGTATCTGGGAAGGATTCTGGATTTGTTTTTAATCCAAATAGCCATGAGGTCATTAATTTTGTTGAGTTGTTTTCTATTTAGAGGAAAGATATAAGCAGTGAACCAAATTTTGGATAGAAATAGAGATTTTGCTAGCAAGATTCTTCCTTTAAATGATAAGTCTCTATTTTTCATTGAATCTATCAGCTTTTTGATTCTTGTAGTAATAGTCTTTCAGAGGTTTTTTCAGGGTTGCCCTTCTTTATTAACCTCATATCCTAATATTTTAATTGCTTCACCTTCCACTATTTTGGAAAAGTTTGCTTCTTCTGGTAACTTTATTAGATTAACACTTTCTGTTAAAGGAAATAATTTTAATTTATCTTTATTGATCACAGCATTCGCCGCTGCTTCATATTTCTTCAAAAGACTCATTAAAGTTGTCCAATCTTGTTTTGAGCCTATGCCTACCGTTAAGTCATCTGCGTAAGATGTGACTTTAAATTTTGGATCTTCTATTGGTGACCTGTTAATTTTTGCTTTAATGTTCTCAAAAAAGGTTCAAACACAATTATATAAAGTAGTGGAGAAAGGGGGGTCTCTCTGCCTTACCCTTTATTAATTTTAAATGGAGTAGAAAGTAATCCTGTATCTGTGATATGAGCTACTAGATGTTAGAAAAGGTTTTTAATCAATTCTATAAATTTTGAGTTAAATTTCATCCTCTCACAAGTCAAAAGATAAAAAATCAGACACAAATCAGGTACCTGATTTTAAACTGATTACTACCTGATTACTACCTGATTTATGTATATTTTTGTACCAAAAATTTGGTACAAAAATATGCATAAATCAGGTGGTAATCAGGTAGTAATTAGTTTAAAATCGGGTACCTGATTTGTGACTGATTTTTTATCTTTCGACCTGTGTCTCTAATATTAACAGGAGATAATTATAGTTCATATGATTGAAGGCTTTCCTTTGGTCTAAAAATAATAGCCAGGCTGGATCAGGTTGATTTTTCTGACTTCTCATTGTAGTTATAATGTCAAAGGCGGCATCAACTAAAGATTTACCCTTTATAAATCCTTGCTGATGCTTATCTATAATTTCCTTGCATATATTATTTAGTCGGTCTGTGATAATCTTCATAAAGATCTTGGCGTCTGAGTTCACTAAAGATATAGGTCTCCAGTTATTGATATTCTCAAGAGCATCCGATTTTTTAGAGATTAAAGTGATTATGCTTTTCTGCCATGAGTCTGGAACTACCCTCATGTTCAAGACCTTATTAAAAATATCTTTAAGAATTGGAGTGACCTCATTTTTATAAGTTTTATAAAATTCATATGTTAAACCATCTAATCCTGAGGTCTTATTGTTTGGAAGATTATCAATTGTTCTTATGATATCTTCTAAGGTGATTTCTTTCATCAACTTTATGTTTTGGGTTTGAGATACTATAGATAGGTCTTTCAAGAATTTCTCTGCTGCTTCTAAATTCATATTCTCAGCTTTATATAAGGTTTCATATTGCTCTTTTATGTACTGTAATATTTTGATGGGGTTCTTGATTGATGGCAATGTTGGGTTTCTGATTTTGGACGTTGCTGAGCATGCTAACCTTAATTTATATCTTTTATAGAAGTATCTTGTTGATTTTTCACCTTCTTTAATCCATCTAGTTTTGGATCTTAGTTGCCATTTATATGCCAATAGCTTCAGCTCCTCTTGTAGTTCTAGATTTAGCTGTGTGGCAACAATGTTTAAATCAGTTAGGTTAGAATCTTTAGCTATTTTGTTGTTTATTTTTGTTATTTTCTTATTTAATTTTTAATATGGGTTTCTGGAGCTGTTTTTGGTTTAAATGACCTGATAATTGATTGCAATCGAATTTTGTAGAAGTCCCAATCTGGCATCGCTACTCCTTCCTTTAGCTTTGCTACAATTTCTTTAGAGATATAAGAGTTATTTAGGGCTCTTGGATCTAGTTTCCAAAGCGTAGACTTAGGAGATACTAGATTACTACATAATTCGCACCACACCAGGAGATGATCAGAATTTCCATATTTGGTTTTACTTCTGCATAGCTGCATATAATCATTATCGATGAAAATATAATCTAATCTTGTGGCCATAGAATGGCCGTTTCTGGTATTTTGGTGGTAGGTGATGAAGGGTTTTTCATTGCTTGTGTATGCTATATCTGTAAAGCCCTCCATTAGTTTCTCTAATTTATCTTTTGTTGGATCATTATAATGTTGTAATTGACTAATTCTGTTGTTTAGTGGATTTAAATTTGTATTAAAATCCCGGCTACAATATTAATTGTATTCTTGTTTATTATTGGACACCAAGTATCAAAGAAGTTAGATCTGTCTGGGATATTGGGTAGAGCATACACGTTTGTGACTTGAAAAGATAAGTGGTTGAAAGAAAAATTAGTTGTTATTACTCTTCTATTGTGTGAGATAAGACCATTGTTTAACTTTATTCTTCTATTTCCAGACAAAATAGCAGCTTTTGAAGACCATATTGAATCAAAGTGCCATTATTGCTTTAAGAAGTTCTGCATTGCAGTGTCGTATAGATTAGTTTCTTGAATTAAAATAATATCTAGTTTGTATGACTTAAGAAGGGTAAGTGTTTCTTGACATTTGTTTCTATTGTTGAGTCCCTAATAATATATCCTTTCATTTGTGATATTGATTTGGATTTTTATTTCCTGAGCCTGAGCTTATCTTCCTTTTCTTTTTACTATTCCTAACCTCTATAAACCTGTCTTCAGTATCTGATTGTCCCTCTTTTAGAGAGGTACTATTTAGCACTTCTTGATTGTCGCAATCCATTCTATTTGTTGTTAGAACATTGGTTTTACTGTCTGATACCGAAGTTTCTGAATTTGAAAATTCGATATCTGGTAAAATAGGAGTACCTGTATGAGGTTTTGGACTAAATTCCTCTTCTGTGTGTTCACTATATGCCCTCTGCTAAGAGCTATCTACCGTTGTTGTATCGTTTGTTCTTTCCATATCTACATCTGGGTCATATAATGTTATTTCCTGAGGGTTATGTACTTGATCATTATTTTTTTGTATATTTATTGTCTCGCCTCTTTCTAACATCAAAGCCCCATCTGATGTTTTTTTTACTGTGGTTTGTTTTTTAGTTTCTTTGTATTTCTTGTAGTGTTGATTTAGCTTATTGGCTTCTTTTAGTTGTTCACAGTCTCTTTTCAGATGACCTTCACCATCACAAAAGTAACAGAGTTTCGGAGCCTCTTTCCACTCCGTGGTGACCTTCTGATCCATTATATTGATGTACCTAGGGATTCTCAGAGTTAAGTTTGCATCATTTGTAATATCAAAAATTACAACCCACTGGTCTGATTGGATTGGTGTACTTTCATATAGGAGAGGCTTTATTGCCATAATAGTGCTTATGTTATCAAAGACCTTCTTTATTGCATTTTTTATTGATTCTGTGTTTGTAATTGGTACTTTTCTAAGTTTTACAGATAGTAGAGATTAGGGTTCTGCAATTTGATTTGATTTGATTTGATTCGATCAAATATTTGATCTCAAATCAAATTCAAATATAGAAATTTCAAATCAAATCAAATTCAAATTGACAAAATATTCGATTCGATTTGAAAATACTTAATAAAAATTACAAATAAATTTGATTTGATTTGAATTTGATTTGATCAAATCAAATTCAAATACAGAAATTTCAAATCAAATCAAATTCAAATTAACAAAATATTTGATTCGATTTGACTTTGAGGAACTCTAGTAGAGATTGACTAGTTCTGGAAGAAATGAACTCATAGAAGGTTTGTTGAAACATTGTTATTCCTTCTTTGGCATACTTCTTCATACGTTGCTCATCTGCAAAAATTAATTCAAGGTAAGAACGGGTTCCTTTAATGAAATGTGGCTTGGTACCTATGAAATCTGCTCCGATTTTGCTGTATAATGTTGCGACAATTTCGTTCGTAGAGATGTTTTTAAGATTTTGAATATCGAATATCAATGCATTATTATTTTTAGTACTTATATTAATATGAGGAGAGAAGGTTGAGTAAGTAGCCTTCCCCCTTGTTAGCTTTGTAAAAAGACTTGACCAGGTTTTTGAATTTTGACTTGGGAAATTAGTTCCATTTTCCTTATTTTCCTCTGATGCAGCATTAAATTCATACCTGATCTTTTTTCATTGAACTTTCTTTCTGCGGAGCTGTAGAATTATCCTCTTGGAAAACCGTTGTTTGTAGGCTTTCTATCACATTCTCTTTTGCATTTTCTTGCTCTAGCATATCTAACCAGTCTGTACTAGTTGAGATTGTTGTACCTGAGGTAGTTGTACTAGGTGAGACGCACCTTTCTGGGCCTGAGCTTGATAAAGTTTTTGCAAGTGTAGAGTTGTTCGATTCCTTGCTTTTATGCCTTGTATCGTGTACTTTCATCATTTTTCATTTTTTATTATCTTTTTCCAGGTTAATTACTTTTCATTTCCTTGGTACAAGGGCAACTGCTCTTGTTTTTTGCATTAGTAAGCTCTTGTGTCCTTTGGGTTTTAAAATTGTGTTTTTTCTGAGTCACCCGGCAACTGTACACTGCAGAGTGACTGTCGATCTTTTTATGCTTTAAAAAATTGTAATTATTGTGGCATTGTTCGTTTGAATGATTAATTAGTGAAAATCATATTTTTATAATCATTTAATAATTCTTTTATTTTAACAAGAATGTACAATTAACTATAATCATTTAATTATTCAAATAAATTACCAGCCCTATAAGAAAAGTAGTACGTGTTGTGGTATGGGTTGGTTTTGGGAATGTATGAAGTGGCACGGATTGTGTGGCACGCACAGGCATGTTTTACAGAATGGCACGGTAAAAATGGCACGGACATTTCGGCAAGGGGTGGCACGCACAGGCATGTTTTACAGAATGGCACGGTAAAAATGGCACGGACATTTCGGCAAGGGGTGGCACGTTATATCACGTCATATGGAACAACACGTTCAGATGACACGTATTTGTACATTGCGCACATGTTGGCTCGTGATATGTGTTGGCTCGTTTCGCGGAGAGTGAAAGATCAATAAATAATTTTTTTTAAAAAAAAGTGCAATATCTCATAATTTCACTGATAAAGCTGCTCTGGGTATCTTAACAAAAAAGATTCCTTACAAAATTTTACTTCACATGCAGTTAGTTTGTTCGTATTATATT